GAGAAGTGGCAGGAAAAAATAAAGGGTTAGATGACCTTGGTAGGTACAAGGGGGACAAAAGAAAAAAAAACCATACAAACAGACAAACAAGGAAGAACATTTGCAACTAAACTACACATAATACATGTAAAGGCCTATTTAAGATTTGCTTCCACAGATCTGCATCAATTAACTGATTTTGATCAGATTATTAAATGGTATCTGATTAAAGAAAGTGATCAGTCAAACATTAACTGCCGTCAAGGCACGATTATGTCCAGTTGCTAGCTGAGAAGAGCAAACTCGCTGCCTAATCACAAACAGGAAATCTTCAAAATCATTCGAGACTGATTTTGCTGTAATTTGGCTAAGACACCCAAGAGTCATGTGGCTCCATTAACCTAAAGACAGCTCATCCTGAACATTTTTTTTCCTCCCCAGAAATGACAAGTTGGCATTCTTGACAGCAATGCCAAAGCTTACCTGCTGCGCACAACACTACAGGTAACATTGCAGTTGCATAAGGATCTAATCCATTTCATTTTGCTGCTCCTCTAGCAAGATCTAACCAATTATTTTTGGCCCTAGAAAGGCCATGAAGTAGAAGCTGCACAGAGCAGGATGGGAGAACAGACTCCTCATATGTACCACTTGTAGGAGCCAGAATGGAGTGGGGGAGATAATCAGGCCCGATTGCTATATTTTCTTCAAAAGGCCTCTCCAACTTCTCTCTCCCAATCCCGTCTGTTTTTTTCCTCATACTGGTCAATGTCTCAGATGTAGAGACCTGGCTAGAAGGATGCCTGGTAAGATGTGTCAAATATTCAGTCGTTTTGGAACCAATACTTACACAACTAGTTCCCGATCATACCTGGTAGTGTTGAAGTACCCAAAAGCTAATTGTACAACGGTTATAGATTTGATTCTTACTGTGTGCCTAAATTTACTGCTATGGTAACATTGCCTCCTTCAGAAGAAGCTTCTGAATACATAAGTTAGAGACCAGATACCAAGTTGTAACATTGAAATCTTCGAAATTAAGGGCTGGAAAGGACTTCAAAAGATCACAGAGTCCAGAGCAGGAATACTGCTGAGATCAATACAGAAAAAACGCTTCCAATTTGATTATGGAATGTATTCCTGATGCAAGTATTGACCTTGGTATGGCAACCCTACCACGGCAGAAATCGCAAAGATCAGGAGTATAAAGAATACATACCCAGACATCTCTTCTTCACCCTTTCCAGTTCATCCTGTCTTCTTGCGGACAAAGCCAACAGAGCTCCTATCTTTGCTAGCTGGTAGGCCAACTCCTCTCCGATTCCACTTGAGGCTCCGGTCACCCAGACAACCTTGCCAGGCAGTTCCTTCTCTGTCAAAAAATTAAAAAAACAAAAACAAACCCACAACAGAATAAATTCAGGGGCTAGACATTTGCAAGAACAACATTTGAGATTTAGGATAAATCCATTAAATTGTTTCTGTAACTGTTATAGTGGAGGGGGAAAAAAAAGGGGGGTTTTGTCCAAAGCAGCTGTGACATTTATCCTGTTTTCTTTATAGCCTGAACAGGACATTCAAAGGCCACTGGGGCTAAATGTCAATTTTTTGTACCCAATAAACTTGCCTCTAGGAACCTGTTTCGGGCAGGTCTATTCATGAAGGGCTTCCAAGGACAAGAGTGAACTTAAAAGCAAGCAGCAAAACACTCTTGGAAACATCAAAAGGCGGGTTCTACAAGTGACAGCACAGAACTGAAAAAAAGCCTAGCTGGACACTTCTGGCTAATAATTTCTTCCTAATCCTGGATTGTCTCTTCATATCTATAAAGACAAAAAACTTGGCCAAAGGAGGCTACTCAGTACAGGCAGGGTGGGAGTTTACCTGTGGCCAAAGGAGGCTACTCAGTACAGGCAGGGGGGGAGTTTACATTCCTTGGTCTGAATCTGATGCAGCCAGGAGCCCTGCACTATTCAGTTGCTTACCCCTCAGCTATTGAAGTCAATGAAAGGAGTTTTACTAGGTCACATAAAGGAGCACCAGGATTGTCTTCAAGGCCAAGTTTTTAGAAGTATTCTGGCATCCAGAGATGCTGCTGAATGAATGGGATTTTCACAAGTCATAGAAAAACCCACTGGGAGTGAGCTGGCCAGCAGCCTCCTGGCCCCGGGAAGTTCTTATACCAGTCTGGTCCCCACAGCATCTATGTGCCTTCCAGCAGCACATTAGACACCGATTCACATCGGTCATGTGCTGTTAGCAACTGTTTGGTGTTAGTGGATACAGGACTCCACCACTCACGACCTGACAGACACTCCCTGGCATCTCTACAAGCAGGCACTGAACAGCACACTGCAATAGTTTTTAGCCACACAGATATTACGCAGGTCAAGACTCGAGTCAAGTTGTCTCCGTTTCACTAACAGGGGCTTGTTTGAAACAGAAGTGCTATCCCATTCTGGAAAGGGATAGTCTGAAAACACCAAAACAATTCTTGTCTGGAGGGTCAATGCAGCAGAACTAGACCCATGAGCTGGGTTGCACCGTCAGTCAGGTTTGTTCATTGGGTTTGAGTTGCATCTGTTCAAATCCACTGAAGCTCCCCAGTCTGCTCACAGTTAATTTACTGCACAAAAATGAGCAAGCTTTAAAATTACCAACCCCCACCAGAAACTTTGCAATAGTCTTTTTTCAAATTACAGCCCTATGTTCAGGTTAGAGAGAGAAGTGCTCAAAATATGATGTACACACAACCTTAAAAATGTTGCCCTTTTGCACACACTGATTGAAAGTCTTCCTATACTTAGGAGGTGACTACACATTGCTGTAGCGTTGTACTACATTGCTGTACAGCACACTACAGTGATATAGTGATCACGTGGGCCTAAACATGATCATCAGCTATGTTGCCACAGCAGTGCATTCCCCCGGTATAGAGTGGCACTATGACAACATAGCAGTGAAAACTAACCACACACAGCACAGTAAATCACCTGTACTGCACCCTACTTTGGTACTTCCAAAAGGACGTACTAAAGCACAGTGCTATAGCCATGTCCCTGTACAGCAATGTGTAGATGGGCGATTAGGGGCCCCACAGAGCCAGCATGGATGGCCAAGGCATGCTAGTTTCTGTAGCCAGTAGCACACAAAGGAGGGTTGACTAGTACCACATCCAGCCCCAGCAGTGTCCCAGCCCAAGTGACCAGGTCCTTGCTTACAGCTGGGTTGACTGGGGACAGCTTTTGGCAGGAAGGCAAAGCAGAGTTTCAGTGAATGCTCCTGGAGCTGTAGCAAAACACCTTCACCACTGCTCGTTCCTACTTATAAAATCTAGAGACTGCACCATAATGTTCTTTACAATATGTAATCCCAATATGCCCCAACTCAAAACTCCCTTTATTAGCTATAAGGGGCATACAGTTCATTCGACAGCACACCACTTTTTAAAAATCTAATTAACACTAATTTGAAGGGGAAAGGACATTACATTTGTCTTCCCAACATGGATGCACTTCTGTTTTCCACCTTCTTGCTACTGAAAACTAATCCGGTTTCTGTCCTACCAATCATAGCTCTCATCTCAAAGCTACTTAAAATGCATTTGTGGGGGCTGTTCAGGAGGCATGCCTTCCACAACGAAAGCCGGCCAAGGCCAGGCAATATTCTGCCAATACTGAGGTATTGTACTGACACCAAGTACTTCGATCTACTGGGTTTTGCTTTCTATAAAGAACTCGGACTAAAAAGCGCTGCAGATCAGGTATGCAACACCTCATTTGCTTTAGTACAAGTGTTCTTACTCAGAAAAGCTTTTGATGGTTAATTTTTAAGCAGCATTTAAGATGAAAAAAACAAACCCACCGAGTTACAAATCATAATGGTGTTAACCATTAACTATTGTGGTATAACCCTGCAGCAAGAGAGCTTAAACAGCATAATACAGGACAGCTGGCTATGACGAAGTGCTTGAAAAAGGCAGTTAGCCATATTAGTCTGAAGCCAGGCAGAAGGCAAGGCAGGGTGGCACCTTAGAGACTAACTGGTTCAGAGGCATATTTTTTCATAAGCAACAAATGCTAAGTAAGTAGGCAATCACCTATGACAGCTCAGCCTCCTAGCACCAGTTAGTCTAAAGCAGTGATTCTCAAACTTTTTAGACTCCAGGCACCCCTCCAAAACTTCCCCGAAATGTGGGGCCACTGGCTTACAGTGTACTTAGTGTGCCTTTTCACCTTTTCCCCTTTCGTTTCACAGAATGTAGCAGGAATAAAAGCCAAGAGTCTTTTAAAATAAAGTAGTTGCATAAAAAACACATGATGTTAAAAGCTATACATTTAAAAAGTGAGAATACCCTTGATATCCTTTGTAGAATTTTTAAATAATTTAAGAGATGTCCCTAGGCCCTGCTTCCCCAATTCTTTTGGGTAGTTTAAAAATCTACAAGAAGGATATTATATCTATCTATCTATCTATCTACCATCATTACTTCAAATAGGATCTCTTTTAGCCTCATCTCTTCCCATATAGTACCTTTGCTATTAAAACAGTTATACCATTCTACTCTTCTCCCATGCTTATTATAGTAAATTAAACCATTTTTAAAAGAGCAATGCTTGTTCAGGAAAACAATTCATTTGGGCTGAAACACAGGTTGTCACAACTCTTGCTTGGTTCCCCTTATACTAAACCCTGTACTATCTGCAATGGTTCCTCAGAGGTGCTTTAATAATGGTGCTCCTGGCCTGTGTGTTAACAGATCTTCTGTGGAAGTAGGGAAAAGCGAATTTGATTTATCCTAGGTTTGTACCATTTCCTAATCTACTTCTCCTGAGTACCATGCAGGTCTACATCAACAAGCAAAAGTCAGCCTAGCACTTAGTCATAGATTGTAGTCGGAAGGGACCACAATGGATCATCGTGTCCGACCCCCTGCCCCTGGCAGGAAAGAGGACCGAGGTCAGATGACCCCAGCCAGGTGACTATCTAGCCTCCTCTTGAAGACCTCCAAGCTAGGTGATAGCACCACCTCTCTTGGAAGCCCATTCCAGATCCTGGCCACCCTTACTGTGAAAAATTTCTTCCTAATATCTAACCTAAATCCACTCTCAACTAGTTTACACCCGTTATTCCTAGTCACTCCCTGGGGCGCCTTAGTAAACAGTGCTTCCCCTATTCCCCGTTGACTTCCTCTAATAAATTTATAGGCGGCCACAAGATCTCCCCTCAGCTGTCTCTTGTGAAGGCTGAAGAGATTCAGCTCTCTCAACCTCCCCCCGTAGGGTCTATCACGAAGGCCACTAATCATGTGAGCGGCCCTCCTTTGCACCCTCTCCAGATTCCCCGTGTCCCTCTTGAAGTGCGGTGCCCAAAACTGGACATAGTACTCCAACTGCGGCCTGACCAGTGCCGCATAGAGGGGGAGCATCACCTCTTTTGATCTATTAGTCATGCACCTGCTAATACACAACAAGGTGCAATTGGCCTTGTTGATGGCCTCGTTGCACTGCCGGCTCATGTTTATCTTGGAGTCAATTATGACTCCAAGATCCCTCTCTGCCTCCGAGCTGCTGAGAAGGACACTCCCCAACCTATAGGTGTGCTGGGGGTTCCTCCTTCCCAGGTGGAACCTGACATTTATCCTTTATTAAACTGCATCCTATTTCTCTCCGCCCATTGATCCAACCTGTCCAGGTCAGCCTGGACAGAGTTCTGATAGAAGGATTTCTTGGAGTAGCCTTCAATTTGTTTGGAGCGTTAGAAAAGAAAAATCCCTTCTTGCAAGGTGAGAAGTGAGAGGCGTTTGCTCATCCACTTGAATTATCTGGACACCTTAGTTGACCTTCTCCTTCTCAGAGCCAAGATCAGAGCAGTAGTGCAGGACTAAGCCAGTCTAGGTGACACGGTGGTAAAAGTGCCAGTGTCCAATAAGATCCTAACATTTATTAAGTGCTTGCAGCATTGCAACTGCATCCAAATAGGGTAGATGTTTTCCCCATCTGGTCCTGCACCCATTTCCTGGAAACAGAGGTCACAGGACAGCTCTACCTAGCCATAGTGGCAGCAGCGCAGTACTCTGGAGATCAGTCTGCAAAGCAGTGGTTCTCCACCGCGCATCTCTCCAGGCAGGTGTGGGGCTGGATCAGGAAAGCACCCAGAGCCAAATTTACTAGCTCCTGCCACAGCCACTTCCTCTCTCAGCTCTACACACACATCCTAAGAACAGAGGCACATGGGACTGCATCACCTGGTATGGCAGTGCTAGTGCTGCAGCATCCTTGGAAATTTTATTTTGCTTCATGAAAGGGAAAGGAGATACAAGGGGGAGGAAAAAATCTGTTATTGAAAGATGTCCCAAAGGGGTGAAGTTCCTCCCATCTGCCAGTAGTGGAACAGACAGTCTGCTGTCAGGTGCAAAGGGGTAAAGGGTCATCTTACATATGAACTGTTCCATTGTTATTACCCTGCTGATCCCTCCGTTTACTGTAGTTCATGAGGTTATTACAGTCACTGTAACTCTTCTTTGTGTGTATGGGGCCAGGTTCTTGGCAAAGAGTTGTACTTTCTATCACAGCTACTCTCATGGGAATCAACGGGCGCATTTAAAATGTGCTGGGGGGGGGCGGGCATTCTAATTAGAGCAGCTCTTGAGAGCCACTCTAATTAAAAGTGCCTGCAGCATCTCCTGTACTCAGTGTCCCATGCCTCAAAGTGGTGGCAGGGGTGCTTAACTAAAGCTTGTTCAACAAGCTTCAATTAAAGCACCCCTGCCACCTCTTTGAAGTGTGGGGATGCTGAATACACGATGCCAAGGCTGCTGGAGTGTCCCAATTAGCATGCTCCAGCTGACTCAGTTAATCAAGTCTGCTAGTCAGAGCAGGCTTCAGACACATGAATAGTACGGATGTGCAAAGCGGGCCCTATTTGATTTGGATTCGGCCCACATCAGGGACAGTGATTCAATTTGTTGATTTGGATCACTGTCCCCGATTTGATTTGGCCAAATCGGGATCTGAAAATTCGATGCCGATTCTGAGAATTGCCAATTCAGACAGACACAGCTTTAAATGTTTTTACTATACACCTTGGAGGTACCAGCGCAGCTCATGAATGCTGGGGTGCATACAGCATCCCAGAGGAGTGCAGGGGGGCCCCCCTCTACGTGCTTGATGGTATACTTCCGGGTCTGCCAGGGAGTGCGCTGGGCCCCCCCTGCTTTAAAAAAAAAAAAAAAAAAAAAAAAAAATCTGTTGCAGGGGGATCCTGCATGCCCCCCCGGACCCAGGAGGCATCAGTCACCCATCCAGGCCGGGGGGGGTCCCCTGTGCGCTCCATGGCAGACCCAGAAGTGGACTGGAAGTGCTTCTGGGTCTGCTGCCCAGTGCGCTGAGAAACCCCCCAAAGCTTCTGTGGGACACTTAATGTGCCCCAGCATCACAGCACTCACGAGCCCCTGATACCTAGAGGTATGTAGAAAAAAAACAAACAAACACAAAAACAAACAAACACACACATTTAAAGCTGTTTCTATGTCTGAATCGATTCAGAGAGATTAAAAGGGTCCTCCAATTTGATTCAGAGATTCAGCTACCAAATTGAATCAGAGGACCGAAGCGTCACACAGCCTGAATGTATAGGTGCCCAATGCTGCTGTGGTTATAGAGGTTACCGTACCTTGGAGAAAGGATGACAGATACAGGTAGGTTCTACTTCTGATAAAATCCAGTCCCAGATGCATCAGTTCTTTTGTACTGATACTATATACCATGTCTATATCACTGCATTATAATATATTGCATTGCAGTTCCTGTCCAAGAAAGGTCATTAGAAAGATACCTTCTTCATGGTCTTTTGGGGTCATTTGGCTGGCAACAAGGAATGGACACTGCCTTAGGATTCAGCATTGAGCCTGTACTCTCCTGCCTCTTAATACGTTGCAAGGGAGTCACAGGAGGCAACTCAAATGCCATTTTTAGTTACAGATTTCACATGTAATCCTTATTTACAGTTTAGGAAGCACTTCTTGCCACAGCTTCCTGTACAGAGAAAAATTGAATGTGTAACCCTTTTGGAAGACCTTCAATCTCTTAACGAAGTAGCCTTTCAAACAGTGGAATCATATTCCCAATAAGACTTCAGCAAGTCTTACTGACATAATTCCCCAGTTGAAATCTAGGACCTCTTCTCATTGCTCCCTCGCATACGATTTTGTGTAGCAGGGATAAGGATTTGCTGTTTCCCAAGACTCCAACCATCTTATCTGACAAAAGCCTGATAAAGGCCATCCTGAACACAACATGCAAAACCAAACAAGGTGGTCTGACATGGGTTTGTGTACGAACTGCATCGATGGAACAAACTCTCCCAAAATTATTAGGACTGTAAAATGTTTAACTCAACTTCCACCCTCCGTTTACATTCAACACTGGATAGTATAGATAAGAACGTTAAAACCCAAAACACTTCAAGTATGGTTTCCGCCCTTGTTTATAGCTGCACTGTGCTTTACACAGATTAAAGACCAGAACTTTATTCACGGCACTTGCTTTCACTCAAAACATCCCGAAACATGAGGCTTATACACACTCTCTAGTCTGACACTGCAGGAGTTTGGTAAACACTGAAATTCTTTTCCTTCCCAACGTCAAGACAACCTCAACTAGTATTGGTTTCCCTGGAGCTGTTCTGATTAACAGCAGCTGACCATCCGATTCACAGTACACAAGTTAAACCTAGCTGATTGGAAGCAGCATGTCCAAAAGAAGAGGCAGTTTAACCATTCAAAAAGCCTTTGGTAAGGAGCACTGATTATTTTATTGTTTAAAGGGCCTGTCCATTTTAAATTATGACAGAAGCTCTATTATCTGCTAATAGCTGATCTTCCATAAAATAGCAGAAGTTTTCATAAAGAAGGATCAATATCAGGGAAAAAAAAACATGCATCTTGCCACTATAGACATGGAAATCCACCACAGAATGGATGTCCTTTAATATTCACTGAAAAGCTTCATTAAACCAATTTAACTGGGATGGTGGAACAACATGAGACAGATGGCCTTCACACAAGTCACTGTGGACTGGGTGGGTTGCCTGCTATGGTAGCCAGCAAGAACTGAGTAAATACACTTGCAAGGAGTGTTTGCCTCCGATAAGCCAGGCATATCAGAGGAATCTGTCCAGCTTAAAAGGACTTGAATTTTTGGGAAGTTGAAGAAAAAAAAAACAAAAAAAAAAAAAAAAAAAAAAGGAGGTGGTGTTAGGTTTAGACTTTAGTGGCAAGGGTTTTTCCTGGTTTCTATTGGGTTGTACAGCCAGCAAACGGTCATGAAAAATCAGTTATTTCCTATAAAGCTCTAAATGGAGACAAATTTTTGCAGCATTTACTGCAAGACACCTCTGTGCAGTCTGCTCTATACTGTCTTCCCATACTTGGCCTCAGAAGTAAAGCAGAAGTGCCTCATCTCCACTAAGGTAGACAAGGTTCATCTCCACTAAGATTTTTTTCAACAATGCAGTTAACAAACAGTAGTTGTCCCCCACCAAATGAACCCCCACCCAGAGATGAGTTGCCTGTGAAGATGTGGTCTCCGACTCTTTAACCAAGCTGGAGGAGGGGAGCATTTCCTTCCTTTGCAAGTAGATGAAGATAATCCTACCCTGCCAAGGTCTGCAGAAGAATCAGAAGTTAGGCAAGATCAAAATATGCATCAAGCCCTCTTCCTTAAATATGATTTTTAAATCCACCTTCCAAGTACTTCGCACCAAAGCCCCAATACGGAGATAAGAGGCAAAATAAATCCAATATTAATCCAGGCTATTATTAGTCTTTAAAATAAGATGTGGCATCATGTTAGAATTGCAGCATAAGTGAATTCTGTTACAGCTAGGGTGACTAGGAAGAAGTTGGGGATATCTGGGACACTGCCCCCTTTCCCCCCCGGCTCCCCAAAGTCAGTGGTGCTGCTGCAGGCAGTGACAGAGGCCAGTTGGCAGGGGCGCAGGTGCGGTCTGGCAGGGAGGCAGAGCTGCCTAGTGCACCATGCTGCTCTACCTCCTTGCCAGACTGTGCCCCAGGCCTCTGCAATTCCAGGATTCATTAAAAAAAAAAAAAAGTATCAACATCTGGCCAGGACTGGCCTTCGAAATCCGGGACCATTCTGGGCAAAGAGGAATGTATGGTCACCCCTAATTACAGCTCATATGCAGACGGCAAGAGAGGACTGCACGTTTCTTAGAGTCTCACCAAATAACTGTGCTACGTTATTGTTCTTTCAACAGTTCTTTTCAGTGTGAAGCTACTTAGGGTGTTCTACCTCATCCCCCTCAACAAACAAAGCTACAGGACAGAAACTTAGAAAATCCAGGAAAGACACCCTTGAAGTACTAAGATCTGAGCCCCAATGCACAACAACGCAGGCCCATACCTTTCATGGCATTAAGCGGAACAACTTCTGACAAGGGAAACCTCCCACCTACCCTGGAGGATTCAATAAGATGGTCCATACTGAGTAAGCCACCCAACCCAGCTTGGCAGCCAACCTCCATTTTCTGAACGTGTGTGTGTGTGTGTGTGTGTGTGTGTGTGTGTGTGTGTGTGTGTGTGTGTGTGTGTGTGTGTGTGTGTGTGTGTGTGTACACGTACACAACTTGGTTTATCTCCAGTTACAGCCTCAAGTGCCCAGATCCTGGGGGGGCACACATTTATCACTAGGCCACAGAATGGAGTACCATTTTTATACTGATGGCACTCCATTATACCTTATCTATTACCAGGAGAAGACTATCTGTTCCTACATCTGACTGGATATTGATCTTATTGGCCACACCGTGCCATTATTCTGCTCTGATGTCATAACAGAAGTTACAAAACAAAAAAAACACCCGAGTTGTAGGAGATTCATTTGTGACTGCATTCAGGAAATAAGGACACCTTCTCTGCTCAGAGACCGCTCATTAGGGGCTCCATGCCATCTTGCATACAAGAAAAGCAGCTCCAAAAACACTCTGCATTAGGAGAACACTACTAAGATACCAAATCAAATGCTTCAAAATCAGGAAATGCCACAATTAAGTCAGCTACTTGTATGTGTGCAGGATGATAACCTTTAGCTGCATAATCACATACTGTTAGATGCACCACACACACCCTACCACTTGGGCCAACAGAAGAGCCTGAAGCAATAATAGCTTGTCATCTGACATGTGGGCCAGCACTGGAAAGAAGAGCAGAGACTCTGCCAGTGGTTTTAATAAGTCATTACTGAGAGCAGGCAAATGGTGAGGCCCAACTCCTGGGTTCTTTCCACATCTGGAATGGTTACTAATGGGCACACACTCTTCTATCCCTTTCCCCACATGATGCAGCCTCCCACATCCTCACCTCCAGTTCCTTGCCCCATGTCAAACTTTTCACCCCTTCCCATTTTTTTCTTTCAGCTAATTTCAGTTCCCTTGCTTAGCTCTTTATCCAGTTCCCGCTATAAGAAACCTCTGGTCTCTAGTCCCAAACCCACCCCCACCCCTGCTCTTTGTCCCCTCTTCCCCCACCAGCACAACTCCTAGTTCCAGCTTCCCTCCCCACCCCAGCAGGTCCAGCTCTAGTTTCTTCATACATTTTCCTTCCCCTCTGTGGAAGAGGCTGGCTGGCTAGGGGTGTGGGGGAAGTATCAGTAGGAGCACAGGTCAGGTCTGGTGCCCAGCGTTCCAGCCAGCAGCCCACAGCTACAGCTGCAGCTGTTTAGCAAGGGTGGGATCTTCACATATTTTTGGCTGCTAGACTAAGAAATCCTTCCTGCGCATGTGCACACTGCAACTTTTCAAACTATTAGCCAAGTTTGAACAGGACACAGGCCGTCACACCCATTGCTACATACCGAGCTTCTCCTCCAAAGTATGGGGTCAGCAGAGTTGCTCCACAGAAAAAGGCATCAAAAGTTTTCTTAGTTCTGACATGAGCAAAGCATATATTTTCTTCTCTAGTAGGAATGTAGCAGTTTAAAGCCAAATATTTTCCAGAGCAGGGGAGGGAAAAAGAAAGAAGCCAGCCCGAGGGAGACACTAAGCATGGAAAAATGTCAGCCTGCATTTCAAGTTATGCAGTGCCTAGCATTTTACACTGTGGCTTAATGAGATGCATTAGAGAACCTTTATGGCAAGTGCTACTGGCCCCATAGATGATAAAGCAAGGTCTCCTATACTGATGCATAGACAGCAGAAAGCTTCATTCTCCACTTGGACAAAAAAACACAACAAACCAACAAATTGCTGGCTCAGAGGTGGGACAGCCACACAAAAATCCAGCAGTGGAATGAAAAACAGCTGGCTGAAGTTAACCCCAAGCAGGCAAGGGAAAACAGTAGGAAACACCCTGAGTTAGCCCCAACCAACATATTTACTGTGACATGGGGCCTCTGACAAACCTGCTTTCCTGGTAACTTAGGAGCTTGGGAGTTCTTCTGGACACGCTGGGCTAAATCCCATTTTGCAAAATGTAGCCAAAAAACTTAGGTAGCTGCTGAACTGCAGTTTTTGGCACCGACGCCATTGGGAGCCTATTTCATCCTGTGGCAAAAGAGACTCCACCCTCCACATGCACCTGCCAACTAGGGGAAGGGAACAAAGAGTCCTCCCACCTTTCAGCCCTGTGGTGAGGGACTGGCCCAAGGAGCGGGTGACCTGGGTTCTGGGCTTACCTCACCCAGACGGGATTTCAACCTGCATCTCCTGCTTCCCAGAGTGCCCTAGCCACGGCCTGTGCCAGGCACTGCC